TCGAAGTCCCTCATAATGCGGTCAGGGTTGCCTCTTGCAATAGTGTCCTTTTTCAGTGCTAGACAGGTTGTTGGGGGATAGCAGTAGAAAGGATCCCAGTTTGATGGTAAGGTGAGATTGGAAACTAACTTAGCAAAAAAAAAAATTCTTCATAGAAAAAAGAGGCATATTTGGCCAAAAGCTTAACAGAAAATCTCTGCCAGTCTCTGCTTGTATGTGCAGATGAATGTACAATTACCAGGTTTTTTGTGATGGCGGTGGCTTGATATAACTGAGATACTTCCAAGGTTTGTTGAGGATTGATAGATGATATAGGTCGATTGTCCAAGATCTCTGAAAATAATAGAACAAAGTGGACTGGAGCTTGCACAACTCACATGCGTCATCCACACAGTTTCCACAACAAACCAACATTTCCTGAGCAATATCTAAGCTTCAAAACAACTCTACAGGACTTTCAGCACACCCAATGTTGGTTCTAAGGGCTGGACCTTCTGCACGATGCAACATGTTCATTAGGTAATCAGTGGGGCAGCAGATGGTCCATGGGTCACAAACCCCTACCATTTTATGAAGCATTTGAAAGTGGGCTTGAAGAACGGCATCAGCAGGATCCCATTGTTAGGAGACAAAAAACGATTATCTTTTTAACTCTTCGTCTAGAACTGTTTTCATTTTTCTAATCATTCTACTTACCTGTCTCTGGATCCTTTCTCCTTTTCCTATTTTAAAGATGACCAGTTTGACTACAAGAGTTGGGATTTGGGCACATTTGAACTTATTGTGTCATACTAATCTTATTATTGGTTTTCTACCCCAATTCTTAATGGACTCATGACTTCATGTTTGATTGTTGATTGCTTCTATAAATTGTGCATATGTGCAGTGAATATATATAAAATTGCACAAGGAATAGAAAAGACTTTCCAGCAGAAAATAATAGATGTGGAATGGTCTTTTAGGCAAGGTTACTGAGGATACTCAAGAAACAATTAGATACCAGCTCAAGGGAAACAAATTAATAAAAAGGTGCAACCTTATACCAAATGATCTATATATAGTCTCCAAAAATGTCTTTTAGTTAGTATTGTAACTATTGATTAGGTCTCTCTTTTTCTATCTCTCAAAAAAAAGTAATTGTACCTGTTAGCACTGTTTTAATGAATTATTAATTAGTATTTTCATTGAAAATCATTCCCAGAAGAATTTGTATAACTGAAAAAGCTGAATTTTGTTTCTTGCTTGAAGTAGATATTAGTTGAGTTGACTTAGACATAGAACTAGCACAATGAGGAGTGTTAGAATGCTAAATAAGCATCATACCAGGCATTACAATTCTATACTATTAGGTGCTAAGTTCATATTCCGAAAGCACATACTTCCTAATATATTTGAACTAAGTCAGGATTTGCCTGTTTAATTAAATAAGACATTTCCCCATTTCAGTTGCTTTTTCATTTTCCTACCATTTTAATTAAAGTCAATTTTAGACTGAAATAAAGTGTCATAGAACTATATAATTATTCTACTCTTCAGTGTAGATTGTCCCAAATTTAAAACATCATTGTTTTTACA